GTTGAATCTGGTGATTATGAATGTGTTTCCACTCTAGAGGTATATCGTCATTTTCAAATTCCATATCAAACTATTAAGATTTGGATGAGTATATCATGTGAAATTGTGAATTGTGCTGTGAATTGTGAAGTGACTAGTGAGAAAATAGATATTGTGAAATTGCACTGTGAAGTGGGAATTTTGGAATTAGTATTGCCATGTGATATTGTGAATTAAATTGAAAATAGTATTGAACGTTCGGCGTCAATAAAATTTGTGCCCGCACTGAATTTTTATCTTGGCTCCACCGCTGACCATAATACCTTTTAGTTTAAGAAAAAAAATTATGAGGTAAGTTAATTTATTTAGCATACGTTAATGGTTAATTAAGTTTAATTACATTGATTACATTAAATCATTTAAATTCCTTTCATATTATAAACATACCCACATTTGTAAGTTACATTTTAAATTATATACTAGGTTTTAATTACATTGATTACATTAAATCATTTAAATTCCTTTCATATTATAAACGCACCCACATTTGTAAGTTACATTTTAAATTATATACGTAAACAAAATATTAAAGAAAATCATTTTCCTTCCATTAGAATAACTTAAGTATGGCAAGTCCAAAATTATTTCTTTTTGAACCAACTTATGTTATTTAACATGAGCTATAAAATGAGTATAACATCGATATATTTTTATCAACTTTTGAAATACTTAAATATTTGACCCAAATGACTACGATAAATTCTAAAGGTGTATTTATGCAAAATAAATCATTTATGCAAACAAGTGAGCCGTGTTTATTATTTCAACTTTTGGACTTTAGTGTGACAATGAGGCTGGGCAGAACTATTTCATTTTTAAATTACCAACATTAATTTAGTCAATCAAAAATTAAAATTAAAATTCAGGGTGTTACAGTTCCAAATTGTGGACTGTCTTCCACATGATTGTATAGCTATCCATAAGCACTCAATGAATATGGGGCTCATACTTCATTTCCACCCTTCTTTCACATCACCCTCTCTTCGTTTAATATTGCTCCCACCCAACTTACCCTGATCAGATTGGCCGAAATGGTAGGATTGTTTTTTTTTTTTTTTTTTTTTTTACGGAGTATTTCCGGTCTGAGTGGAGAGCTTTCTTCGTACGATTTACATTCCGTTTATCATCTCATGAGAGCAGGAATAACATGCACCCTCAAAAGGGGTATTACTGCCATACTCCTCGATCTCCCAACATGTGCCTAAAACTCGTAACTACTCCCAATAAGATATATAATTGAAAGCTCTCTCTCTCTATTTTTTTTTATTATTATTATTTTTTACGGTGATTGGAGGCTACAACTTAATGACCTGAGACCCTTCAGTGATTATGCCTCATCTTTATGGTGAATTTAGTGAGTTTTTCTCCTTTACTCGATATTGCTTTTATTTAAGAATTCATCTTATTTGATTATGCTCATGCAGATAGACAATTGGTGTTTATTTGTGCCCCTTAGAGATTCCAAAGGCTACTACTGTGTCAGAGGTTTTACTCCAAGTTTTATGTTACAACTCAATTTTCATAGAAAAAAAAAATTCAGATGTTGACTAGTCAAGGTCAAAGTCAATTAAGGACTGAAATGAAATTAAATATTTTATTGGGGTTTATTTTACAATTGGCAATATATGAGGATAAAATTAGATACAATTTAAAGTTGAAAATTTACTTATATATTTTTGGAAGTTTAGGATTAAATGTGATATAAAAATGGAGTTGATGGACTTACCCTGCAATTTTTGAGTAAGTGGGATTTATATTCATCCTTTGACCATTTTTTTCTCTCAAAACACACACTACACCTACTAGAAAATGGGCAGAGAGCGGAAAAGGCCGAGAAAGAAAGAAAAACTAAGGAAACAGGGAAGAAAAAAAGGGGAAGGATGAAGAAAATAAGAAAAGAGAAGAAGAGGAAGTGAGGTAAGGTTAATCCTTTCAAGTTTGAGTTTAATTTTTCCATTTGTTTCCAAGTGATAAAAGTATGCTTTATGTTAAAATTCTAGGGTTCTAACTTGTAGTAGAAATTTTCAAATTTAGGTGTGATAAACACGAATTGGAGCTCAAGCTTGAGGATTACTTCATTTCCAATTTCAACTAGGTAAAGAATATATTTTTTTTTAGCAAACCCTAGAAATTTTATTTGGGATTTTTGGATTAAGTGGTGTTCATGGAAATGATGATGTTGAGGAAATAATTATTTGGAAACATGAAATTATGGAACAAGAGGAAAATTTAATTGGTCGAAGCATTGTGACAAGTTGTCACTAGAATGAAGTGGTAATTACATTAATACTTGGAATAAAGGCTATGTTGATGAATTAGTTATTAGTTAAGGGATCGTGAAGTGTGATTAGCTCCAATTAATAAAGGAAAATTTGGGAATTTATTTAAGTATTAAGAAATTTAATTTAAGTTCTATTATTAGATATTAAGGTTTCTTGATTTGATAGTAGATAATTTGGTTATTAATGTCGTATTTCAGGTGGTGACAAGAAGATTAGAAATGTTTATCAGGCAATCTAATTTGTAGCTCATACTTTGTGAGTGGATATAAAAACTTATTTTTCAGAAATTAGTATTTATTATTATTTTATACAATTGATTTTGACAGCATGATTTTTAGAATAAAATGGATTTATAATTAGATATTTTTAAAGTTAAATTCAGTTCAATTAAATCACTTCAATAGCATGTTCCATTCGTATTACATGTTTTAGTATAGCTAAAGTTATTTCTAAAAATCACCAGAAAGTATCCAGGTGATTTTACTCTAGTCTGTATTGGTGTGAATGTGTTTCCACATTGTATGACCAGTTATGGTGATTTCACCCGCTCTGCACTATTGTGAATTTGTTTCTATAGTGTATGACTAGATTATCAGAAGTCTTTGGGATCTACTTTCGTACACAAATAGGCTTTGGGCCGTGTACTAGGGTGATTAGCCTTTGGGGTGGCTCTGCGTACGTATGACCAGATTATCAGATTGTCAGATGTGAATGGACTTGCCTTGTACATCAAGATTACTCTGTACATGAGTAAGGTTATTCATAGGGTACCTTTTTGGTGTGATTTTTCAGTATTTCTACACTTATCAGTTTTCATTATAGAATTCAGTTAATTCAGTTTTCAGAATAAAGCTTTCAGCTTATAGTATTGAGTAGCGGCAATATTTCATAGATTTTCATGGATATCAGATTATTTATAGTCATTATATTATACAGATACTTTTCTAAAATTAAGAAAAAAGAATTTTATGATGCAATCATGGTTAGTTTTAAATGTGTTACCAGATTTTAGAAATTCTCAAAGATTTAATAAAGTTAGAATTTTTAGAAAATGTGCTTAAATGGAAAAGTTTACTTATTTGCAAACTATCCACTCACTGAGTTACAAACTCATATATTTTGTCATGTTTTTTTCCCTATCAGGAGATCGTTGATTTTGAGATACTTAGAAAAGCCTTCTGAAGTGAAAGAGACTGTTTCATAGTATGTAATGTATAGTTGGGAACTCATGTTTATTTAGTACTTGGTCTAATATTTTGTTTGACGTGTATTTCATAGAAGGGTTTGTAATTGATGTAATACTTGCTTGTAGACATGATGCTGATGTAGAAGTACTCAGTCGAGTTTAGTTGTATTTTGTTTTAGTTGTGGTGATATTAGTGGAAGTGGTGGTTTTCAAAACTTTTGGTTTGAATGTCTATATGAGGTTTTGTTGATTTTTCAGGTTGGTTTTGTCCATATTTAAAGGGAAACTCTGTCAAAATTTTTATAGAAATATGTCACAGTCAAAGTTGGATAAGTTTGCCTTGGTGGTGGGTTTGACACTTAGCTGGCATCTACCATCGGCCCACGACACATGTCAAATCAATTAGGTTGAATCGGGACGGGTCATGTCATTTTAAGTCTCTATTCTTTCTTTACCGCAATGGTGCATTAGACATAGGGATTTTTGGAGTTTTCTCTTTTTGTCTCCCGTACTACAAAGGCTGTATATGCCTATTTCAATTCGTCTTAGGAAAAACTAGTAGAAGAGCTTACTTTTACTGAGAGGGGGAAGATGATTTACACCCATGGCCAACGAGCTACTGTCTTATCTCAAGATTAGTTCTATAGCGAGGTGATGCAATACTCTTCAGATAAACTAAATGATGATGATGTCAGAAGGAACAAATATAAGGCAATGAGTAAGGGTGCCAAAGCTTTTCTTGCGAAAGAAGCTTCCTTAGTAGATTATGCCAAGAAGATCTCTTTGAATCTAAAATTGACTAAGAAAATCCACGTAGCTCATGTTGCAAGGACTGAACATGACGCTTCGCGTCTTAAAGAGGAGTTCCAATTGACTAAGTCTAGTTAGGAGGCTGTCCTCATAAAACTTAATAATAGAAGGAATGAAATAGTTGTGTTTTGTGGTAAATTGATTAATAATGAGTTAAGATTAGCTGTTGTAGAGTCTAGCCTTTCTGGAGCAACTGCTCATGAGAAGAAGTTGGTTGAGGATACATTGCAGGAAGGGAGAAGTAAAGTGCTTAACATTATCAGAAACTTTCACATTTAATGAAATGTGGACTTTTTGGAGGCTTGTGAAGATGATATCGAAGATATCATGTTTATTGTTCTTAACCTATAGACTCTTAGGCTATCTCCCCAAGTGAGAATGTTGGTACCAATAAGCATCTTCACACTTCTATTCCTGCTTTTTCTAAAGTGAGGATGTAACGCCCCAAATTTTTAAATTTTATATTTTCGAAATATTAAAAAATTTATTATTTATTTATTATAGATATATTTTTTAAAGCGGAACGTAAATTCTTGTTTTTGAGAAAATAAAGTTTACTCTTGAAACTTAAAGGAAATTTTATGTCATTGAACGAATTTAAAGGAGTAACCACACAGATATTTAAATTTATTTAAAATTTAAAATCATTCAACATCAAATTTAAACAAGATATAAATAAAACACGAAGCTCAAAACTAATGTTTAAATGCTATACTTGATAATATTAAATGAAATTTTGGTTATGAACGTACTTAAAATATATTTTTTCTTAGTAATCCATAAGCATTCACTCGTCCAATCTTCCATGCATCCAGAATGATCTATTCTAATATGAAATTTTATAAATGTGAGTATTTAAATAAAACACTCAATAAGATATGCGCTATATTCATATTCAGCATAACATAAATATAGGTGAAATGTTTCATACTCGACATTCTCAGATTCAGATCAACTGATAGCAATGTCTAACAACTTAAGGAATTTCTTTAGAATTCCTACATTCTAAAGAATTTATCGTAATTGGATATGATGGCTTATCTCAAAGGATTTTAAATAAAATCTACCTGGCGGTCTTAATGCATTATGTAATTGTAATAAACCCCTATTTGACAACCGTTAATTAGAAAAAACAATATTTTGAATAGTGTTTTGAAGAGAATGTATAGTTAAAAAGTATATAAAAAAAAATTGAACTTATGTACGTAATATTTTATTGAGTGAATATATGTTTGACAATAAGTATGTAGAAAAAAGAATTTTGAAATATGGTTGTCAAATAGGGGTTAATATCATGGAGAATAAGAATTTAACCTAGGCAACTTATGTCTCTTATCTTATATGAAAATCTAAAAATGCTAAGAAACTTGGAAAAAAGAAAAAAAGGAAAAGAAAAGAAAAGAAATTATATTGGTTCCAATCTCCTCCAAATGCTTTAACTTGTTGTAATAGTAACATACATAGAGTAGATAATTTGTGTGTATTGAATGACCATGTATTTATAAATGTATATATAATGTAAAAAAGGTTTAAGGAGTGGGTAAATGAAAATGGCAAAGTGATTAAGAAAAACAATGCCATGTAGTCATCATTTACACGCACATAATACACTACTATCAAATATCAAATAAAAGGATAAAGTTAGTTGCTTTCTTAACAAGCAAAACTCTCACATCTCTTTCCACCAATTGATAGAGAATTATAAAAAGGGAACAATACATAACCCAGGCTTTTAACATACACCATTTCATTTTTAAAAATCAAGATTTAAATATACACAAATCAGGTATATATGACTACAAACGGCTCCTTAAAATAAGTAATCTGTTACAACTTCTGCAGAAATTTCGATCACAAATCAATGCCACATCCAAAAAAAGAAGCTCGAGCAATCATAGGAATGAAATCATTTCACGTTATCGGAATCGACCTCAATACCAATCGAAATTAATTGATCTGTAATCAAGCAACCATCGTTCTTCACGGAGATTTGTCGATTCTGGATTACAATCAGGTATGTGATTCCAATTTTGAAATCCTATGACAGCATCTGTATTCATCGTGTAGGTTCGAAATAAACCAATTCATGTTTGGGCATTACGATTTATAAACAGTTGTTTATGTGACTCGGCTGCATTATGATTGTGGACCTGAAATCATTACGTTATGGACAGTTGCTTATGTGACCGATCTTGATATGTAGCATGAATTTCAATGTGTGACCGTCATAGGTGACTGAGATTGATTGTATGTGATAGTGTTTTACATGTGATAGTGTTTTACATATGATACTGAATTTTTTGTATGTGGCCTTGAGTTGTATATGAAATCATAGTTTCTGTCAGAGCCAAGAACTATATAAATGTGACCATAACAGATACCTTAAACTGATATGTGACTGATTTTCTCATCTAAAGCCTACAGTTTTCCTTTGGAATTTTGCAGAAATGGGATATGTGCACGTTTGCTTGTTATACAGGTCACAGTCAGCATTGGTGATGGTTGATCATAATTGTTGTTATATAAAGCTTGTAGAAATAGCAGTGATAGAGTTCAGTCTAGATCCTACTAAGGTAGCTGTCACAATGACTTACACACTAAATGTTGATCTGCCTCCAGTAAGAATAAGTAGTGACAGTAATGTTTGAACATGCGTGACTCTAAAAACTATAGAGCATGACCCTTCAAAGTATCCTATAAACATTGAGGTGACATCTATAGAAATAGGACATGAATCGCTCAATTCTATGTTGGCCAATCCAAGTGCACTTAATGTGCAATCTAGTGTAGAGGTGTATCCGTTGCAGAATACAATTGATATATGTGATGTAGTTGTAGAAACGTCCCATCGCGTGGATGAAAATTTAGTCACAATTGTTTCCATTCTTGATGCTACGAATATAGAAGAAAGCAGAGTGTTTCGCAATAAGGATGTTTTGAAATTGAGCATGTCTTTCTTTGCCATACAAAATATGTTTGAATACTTGGTAGTTCGATCAGATAAGAATGAGTATCTAGTCCAGTGCTCACATGATGACTGAAGTTGGATATGTAGGTCTTCAACGTTGGGAAAAACAGAGATTTTCAAGATTCGAAAGCTAACCGATAGTCACACATGTGCTTCAAGCATAATTTTAGGATCTCACAGGCAAGTCTCAATGTCTGTGGTATCCTCATGCATCAAGTATAAGTGTACATCATCGCGTACTGTAAACACTCCGAACGATATATGTAATAACATGTTGCATACATATGGGGTCATCATGAATTATGTTAAAGCTAGGAGGTCCCGAGAAAGAACTTTGAAACTAATCAGAGGAGGATCTAACAGAGTCATTTCGGCAACTACCAAGCTACTTTTATATGCTTGAATATACAAATCCTGGAACGATCACAAAGTTGGAGATTGATAGTCACAACAGATTCAAGTACCGTTTCATGGCACTTGGTGCATCAATTGAAGGATGGGTCCACTGTAGGCCTGTAATTGTTGTAGACGAAACGTACTTGAATGGGCACTACGGAGGCACTCTATTTACAGCTTGTACACATGATGCTAATAACAATATCTTTGTGCTCGCATTCAGTGTTGGGGATAACGAAAATGATGCATCTTGGACATGGTTCTTAGAAAACCTGAAGAGTGCTTATGGTAATAGGGAAGGACTTTATTTTGTATCAGATAGGCATAACAGTAAAAATACTACAATCGAACGAGTATATCCAGGTACAAGCCATGAAATTTGTATGCACCATTTGCTACAGAACTTGAAATCACATTTTGGTAAATCAGGTCACAACATAACGCAACCGTTCAATTTGGCTATCCGTGAATAAACTTTATTAGATTTCGAGTACAATATGCAACAATTGGACACAATCAACAAAAATATTAGAGGTTACCTGGTAAGGTTTTACTTTCGTACATGTACATACTGTCCGTGAAAGGTGTACGCTTGCCAACCTAATAATGTTTTGGCTTGCAAGATGAAATTGGATCAGAAAGGTGGTCACGGCTCCACATGCCTGCAAATAGGTACTCCACGATGACCTCTAATATAGTGAAATCCGTCAATGCAGTCACAAAAATAGCAAAAAACTATCCTATTATAGCGTTGTTGGATTCATTGTGACAAACAATACAATCTTAGTTCTAGAAGAACAGAGACACAGCAAATGACACATTCACAAAGTTGTCCACCAAGTACGAGAAAATGATGAGAGAAATGAGCACAACTTTGAAAAATATGAGGGTGACGATCATATTTGTTATATTACATCATATACATATATATGTGACTTGCTGGAATATCCAGTATGTAAGATATGTGACCTGACATTATCCTTTTCTTTGTTCGCAGGTTTCTCCAGCAAACCAGACGATATTTTCAATTGCTGACACGGGATCATCATTTATCGTTGATATAGAGAAACGAACTTGCACA